GTGGACCCCATGCGATGACCAGTTCCTGCACCACATCGAGGACCATGGGATAACTTTAAGTTAGTATAGGAAGCAAGAGAGGCTGTTAGGTTTAGGTTCAGATTAGGTACTTAGGTTAATTTAAATTTAGTTATATGAGATATCGTCGCGAGGAGCGACCCGGTTTTAACATCTAATTTGAAACTTGTAGGTATTGATGTCTAGCTTATTTTTTCAAAATAACAATTGCTTCAAAGCGTCTCAAATTCATGTGGAATGCCCGAAAATTTAATTTGCTATTAACTCTAAAACCTTTGATGATAGAATTTTACGCATTGCTCGAACATGCAATAAAATGTACGGCGTTCTGTTTAAAAATCTAATTTGGGTCTCTCACTTGACTTTGAGACACCATGTAGCAATTGTTACTATCTCAAAATGAATGTGACTTTAGTATCTACAACTTTTATACACAATGATTTTCTATAAATTCAATATTTAATCTTGAAACAGGATGACCAAACTTGAATAAGTATTGGTTTTTAGCTCCAAAACAGTTGAAAATCAGGTTAGAAGATTAACGTCACAGGATTAAATCCATCGATAAAAGAGCAAAACAACGCTTTTCGTTTAAAAATTACTTGGTTTTGTTTTAACAAGAAAAGGTAAAAAACGAATTTGGAAGTACATATATCATGATCGATAAGGGTATGATACAGGAAAAAAAAGATCCAGTGATTTCATTACATATTTTATTTAAGCCTACCTAACATTCTCAATCGTTACATTGACAGTAATGAGCCTGTCGAATAATTTGCAGTATTTTTAATACAGCCAATGCGCGGGTATAGACAGGAATTACATGCGGTAAATGAAAATTTATTTTTAGGTCCCACAAATTAATTGAATGAATAAATTGTATTTAAAAAGAAAATATTACTCGATTAGTCATTTTGTAAAATTAATGTACGTTGTCAAATCCAGGTTTAATATAATTGACACATAATATTAGGACTAATTTATATATTGTACATTGAATTGCCTACCTAAACATATGAATATATTTTTTAATTTGCCATTTTTACATGTTAATCAAATAACATCCACATCATCTCCTGTGCTCACATCTTCTCCAAATTCAATATATTCATCCAGATCGTTCTCCACGAACGTAACATCATCACTAATTTTAAAGGATTCTGGGAATTCGCCGTATAATTTCAAATTTCGCGCTTCTTCAGGAGTATATTTGAGAATAACGTCTGCTTTGGCATCTTGGTAATCTCGCAAACCTAGCAGGATAATGTCGCCTTGGTTTATCCAAACCTAAAAACAAAAACGTGTCATATTGAAAATAATTCGCTCGCCTTTAACCTCTTTTACATTCAATCTTATTTAGGTTAAGAGAAACGTGTTCTTATAGTAAAAATATTTTAATCTGTTGTCTATAAATGTATCCTACAAAATATCTGTAGAACATGTTTTTTTATTTGACTTGAAACAGTTTAAGGAGACTCCAAAATCAGTGACTGACCTTCTTTCGCAGCTTTGCTCGGATAATTCCCAAGCGTTTAACACCATCAAAGCACATGGCGTCAAGCCTTCCATTGCCCAGCATTTTGGTAACTTGAGCATATTCTTGACCAAATTCTTTGAAAATTAACTCGCGCTTCTCCTTTTCGTTCTCGTTCKTTCCTCTCCTGCGATTYTTACCTCCTTTACCTAAAATAATATTAATTTTAATTTAATCGTTCATTGCTACCTAAAAGTGCCGATACATAACTTTGGTAATAAACTGTACTGATTTATTTTACATGTCTGTGGAAGGTATATGGGAAGACCAATTTTAAMTTTGAATTTCTTCCAAGATGGTCTACAGCATAACTTCCGAAATCAATTGAAAAACAATTTCCAAGATAAATCAGTGTTGATGTTGCTGATCGATGGATTCCATACTTTCAAAATATTTTGTGTGTGAACATCTCACATAAAATCTTATTTAAAACCAATCCTGACTCGTTTAGTCAAGATAAAATAAATATGAGTCAGCCAGGAGTCGTGTGGGATAGAATAATTCTCTTATTTTCAAGCACGTATGCAATTTTAATAGTAAAACTTAGACAATTACAAAAAATTTCGTTCAAAGATGTTTTCATAAAAGCATATACTCATAGCAAAATACTCAAAATATTGCGGAAATCACAATTATTAGCGTCTTGGCAACAATTTTGCATGCGGAGTCATGAATAGTGTATTCCTAAAACACGCTTTTCCAGCAAATCGCACCGGACGATCTCATTTTCGCGCCCAAATAAGGGGTTTCGAAAAAGCACATTTTAAAAGTTTCTAAGAGTGTTTTGGCATGATTTATAAACCATCCGGGAATTATTTTGGCTGAGAGTGCTTAAATTGAAGTGTTCTTTAAGGTGAAATAAGAGAAACTGAAACTTCGGAGATTCAAACGACAACATCACCTATGTGCCTATTATTGTAAATTAAGACATTGAATCAGTAACCTAGTTGATGCATTTAGATACAAAGAATACATTTGTAAAAGTATTGCAACAACTCCAAAGGAGCAATTTAAAATACTTAACACCTGAGGCACAAGGAGTGCATGGGGCCCAGAGAATGTTAACTCATTTTCTGAAAA